ACCACTGCCATTCTGCCTTTTTTTTGAAGCTTCTCCTACTTCTCCAGGTAATGCCACAAAACAAAAGACAAGTTCAAAAATACATAAAAAAGCTAGGTTACCAATGGTCCGGGGGCCGGTCGTCTCCCCCGGACGTCTCCCCCATACGTCCGGGAAAAAAAGTTTTTTTTTTCGTAAAAAAAAAATATATTTGTTTTTCGGTTTTCGATTTTTAACTCATGATTGACTGCGAATTTGAACATGACTCCAAGGCAAAAGTTGTTTGTATTGTTATGTGACATAACATATATTTTTTTCAGATTTTTCTGAGATTTTTTTTTTTTTTTTTTTTTTTTTTTTCTGCGCTAGGTCGGACAACCCCTGTCCGGTCGGACTCCGACCAGACGTCCGGTCGGACATCCCGGACGGTCAGGGGGGTCCCGGACGTCCGATCCAACAACCTAGTAAAAAAGAAAATTCTTACTGTGAATCTACCCCTGTCAACAACACACAGCAGTCTGAACAAGAAATGGGTCTAACCCACAAGTTTAGCTCTTACTGTGTTGCTCATTCTAAAAATAGCGCAAGTCCAACGGTTGACCTCCAAACTTGGCTGATCCTCGTGTGAAATCCCACAACCCACTAGTTTGTTTTTCTTTCGTCTTTTGTTGCCCCTTTGTTTGTGAACGTGCGACCATTGCATTATGCTTCTTTTTCCTGTTTGACAAGAAATTATTAGAAGGGGTAACTGCAGTGGAGTCACAAAAACAAGTTATAATTGCAGTAGGGGGCAAGATACAGTTTGTGATTGCACTTGGGGCACCCTACCTGGTCAGAAAGCTGGGTTGTATACATTGCCCGAACTGCAATTCGAAACTGTATCTTGGCCCTTAGTGCAATTATAATTTATAACTCATTTTTGTGACTCCCGCGTAGTTTCCCCTTATTTAAAAAGTTCCATAAAGTTGTAAAAGCTGCTCCAAAAAGATCATGCTGCGATGGTCCTCCGATGCTGCTAATTTTTCTCAATCTCCTCATGCCCTCTCTTGTCCGACATGTGGAGTCTTCCTCTGATTCCTTAAGGCATAAACCCTACCTCATCACTCTGGACTTTTCCATTTCATTTTTCCTCCCCATAATTCCAAGTCACGGACAACTCTTCAAGAGAAAGCTAGAGAGCAATGGAAAAGTAACAAAAATAAAGCAGCAAGAAGGGAAGAGTTTGAAAACGTGTGGAGGCCCACTCGAGGAGCGCCTTGGAAAACAATTACAAAAGTGCCCCTACCTTGGAGGGGGACCAAAGCAAGAATAATGACCGGCACTGATGCCCAGCAGATAGAACCAGTGGGAGGATCTAGCGGTGCCAGTCTCTATTCCGAAGCCAACCTACGCAGACCACAAGGGTACAGAGACTGCACAAACCCTACTTAAGACAAGTTTTCCAATTCGGGAATGTACTCGTCTCTATAGAAGGACAGAGTGGAGGGGGCTGCTAGGAATCCAGTGATATCAGGCGGTCTGTTTGCAGACTGAAGAGGCCAACTCCTAACCACACATGCTTTGCCTTTATCACCTGTATTTTCATCTGTATCTGTAGAAGGGACGCTGGGCCCGATTCCCACCCGATGTCCCTCCCCACCAATAAGATCGGAGCCATCAGCACGGCGCGGCTGGCTGCTCGTATCGTCACCACTAGCAAACCAGCTGATGTTTTTTTTTCTTTTTTTTCTTTTTTAAGGTCTGGACGACCGTCCTATGGAGCCGTAACGTAGATGACTTGTAAGATTTCCATCCCATTCAGGGCCACTTCCACTCTTCTGGATCCAAAGGGAGGTCGTCAACCCTTGTTTCTGGGCTAAACAGTACCCACTCTTCCTTTGCCTGTCACTCTAAGGCTAAACAGTAACCCCGACTGTCACTCTAAGGTCCAAGACAATAAGCCCAAAGGGGGAAAATAAAAAGGATCATTTGAATTTTCTTTTTGGGATTTACCAGGCAGGGCCCAATATCTGTCTTCCAGACAGCATCGCGGGAGAACACTGATCGTGGCTTCTGGAGCTATCTTGCACAGCCGCGCTCAAGGGCTAGGGGGCTCTGTACAACCTGTGGATCAGAAAAAGGTACGAGGAGCCATTTCAGTGATAGAGTTTTCAATTGGGCGGCTGGGTCTAGGATAGCAAGGTCTTCTTTAATTACCACCGGGCTTTCCCGGGCGGTAAGAAACAGTAATAAGAAGTGTTTTGCAGAAGAGATGTTGTCCAGGGCGGTTAATCCCCTCGAGTGAGGGCAATCAATGCTGCCTATCATCAACCAACTTACAACTGGCTCCATTCCGTGGTTTTCCTGTGAGAGGGACGCTGGACCCGGTTTCCAGCAGGTCCAGCTCCCCTCCAATATATTGGAGTCGTCTAATCAGGAGGCCTATTATTGGAGGGCACTCTCATTGCCTCCAATAATAGGTCTCTAGCAGATGTTTTTTGGGAAAAAAAAAAGAAAGTATTACCCCTTCCGCCTGACACAGCCATGTATGTTGTTTCTAGTAACTTTCTAAGTTTCTACTCCTTTTTTTTTTTTTTTTTTTTGCAAGTCCAGGGTGTTGTAGAGGCCAGTTACTAGGCACACGTTGATCGCCGGAAGCGGTCAGCCGTGGTCGCCCTGAGGAGACGAGGCTACCTCCCATCCCATCCCCGCGTCTATACTCCTAGCGCATCCCCTATCCCTACTATCCTAGCTCAGTGTGACCAGCACTCAGGATCATCACCCTACCAGTATCGAGGGGAACTTGGACCGAACAGTAGTGACAAGCACCAGGGCTAGCGGCCCAGCCCCAGTGGAAGCGTAGTCGAACGAGCCTCGTCATACGGGAACTTCGGATGCTAGGCTCAAGCAATCACCTATTAGCCCCTAAATTGACCGACCAGTAACTCACGCCATCTACTCTCCCACCACAGACCCTAGCTGTATGTTTAAGGCGGGGTACTTATCATCAAGACGCCTATCATCATCACCAGTTGGAACCCACCAGACCNGACGCCTATCATCATCACCAGTTGGAACCCACCAGACCAGCCAGTGACTCAAACCCTCTACTCTCCCACCACAGACCCTAGCTGTATGTTTAAGGTGGGGTACTTATCATTGAGATGCCTATCATCATTATCAGTTGATCGTGACCTCCTCCCAACCCTATGGTTGTGTGTGTGTGTGTGTGTGTGTTCAGTATCGCAGGTATGTGGCCACAGGCTCTGTGTATGTTCGTAGTCTGTGTGGACCCGATTTCGTAGCAGATGCTGCTCCCCACCGTGGAGCATCTGCGGAGTGAGTACCGGTGAGAGGTGCTCATATCACCTCCACCAGTACATGCGTGTGTGCCTCAATCAATGTGTATATATGGTATGTGATAGGCTGCGTATCGTGGTTGTGCCCATAGACAGTATCTGGGGTAGTGTCTCGTGTGTGTGTGTGTAATATGTGGTAGAGACAGGCCTATCTGGACAGAACCCCCCCCAAGTCCGGAGCCGGACTCAAACCTGTGACGTACAGCATGAAACTGGAGGGTTCTACCACATGCACTACCATGGGAAATGGACGTAATGTGTGAAATGTCCAGGCTGGGGGAGATCATCAGAGCGACCAAGGCCAACAACAGCAAGCAACCGACGCGAAGCCTAGACCAGCATGCAACACCCGTGGACTGACCCTTGGGTGGTGCGCAGGCAGTGTCTGTTGAAAGGCATTCCACGATGCAGACCCCAAATTCGAATCTCAGGATCAAAGTCCCCAGGCCAAAAGAGGCCAGGTCGGCCTGTTTCAGAAAGGTTACGTCAGGTACCCGATCAAAAGTCACATCCCATTGGCAAGGGTCACGTTGTCGGGCGGCCGCAGACCAGTCGGCCACCCGACATACACTAAATTCGTCCCTAAACTGAGCTCCCGGCTGGGATTCATCGGCTATTCTCATCAGAACTGTCGCGGAAAATTAGCGGGTGTCATAGGAACCCTGAATTCCCCTCCGTCGGCCGTAGGAACTAAGCTTTAAAATTAATAAGATGAACAGCCGGCTCTACCGTGCCTGACACTTATCTTTTCTGTTTGTTCGGAGGTTGCCTTCGAATCAGCCAGCCATGAGGCGAAGGAATAGTAGTAGGCCTTCGCGCGGCATTTTTCACGCTGACCTGTTGGCGAGAGTATGAGCCTCAAATTTTATTGAATTTAATGAAGAAATTAAAGATGACCAATAAACTTGAAAATGATAAAAGGAATTGAAAAACAAGTAATTAAATGATTATTTAACATTTTCTATCCGATTACGGTCCCAATGATTTAGACCTGAATTTATCTATTTAATATTTATTTGTTTTTATTGATTTTAACGGATTTCTTCTATTTATTAAAATTTACCGGATTTTCCCTAATTGTTACCCTTATCATAATCCAGGAGTTATGGAGCGTGCGATGCCCACACCCTACCGATATCCTATGGTGTGTTGAGTGACCTACGATGTCGACAGTCAATTATTTCGACACCTTGTGAGGTGGACGTTGGTTATATATGCGGTTGGGTCAGCGGATTGATTCTGGCGACGGCGGCCGACTCTTCTTGTTATGATCTGGGGCTTGGCACGTATACGACAATCGGCGTCTGGTGCGGTATCTGGTCCGGAACCGGTATGAAGACTGATATGGTACAGGCATGGTGCTTGTGGTGTTTGGAACGACATCTGGTCCACGGTTCGGGACTTTGGCTTGGTATGGTTGCTGGTCCGATACTGGTACGACACACTTGCCGCTCGATACGGCAATTGCCATTGGTTGTGTAAGGTTGCTGCTTCGCCGCAGACATGGTGCTGGGGCAACATAGTGCGATCTGTTCCTATTTTTCAGGTTCGGTAATTGGTACGGTATTGCGGTCCGGTTCGAGCCTCAGCTCACTCCAGCCCTATGCTATAAAATTGATGTGGAATTGCCTCCACGGCAGCTTGATTATGGCTCGGTGATCACGGGACCGGTACTGGTTGGTTCGGCATTTAGTATGGCCCGGAACTGCGGCAACTCACTCACATTTGGTGACGCTAATTTTGCTACGGTCCGTCGCAAGTTCGGCACTTCTGTGTTGGTACAGTCACTGGTTCGGGAATGGCACAACTTGATGTGGTTCGGCACTTACGATCCTGGTACGGTTGCTGAATAGGGACTGGACCGATCCTATTGAGGCGGATGATCCATGGCACAGTGTTGGATAAGACTTAAGGACCAGAGACAGTTCACTCTACTACCGGTAATACCTATTCTGATCCACTGACCCGGGGCTGCGGGGCTAAGCCCTCGATGGTTCAGTGCTGCTACAGGTGGTGAATGTGCCTGCCCAGAAGGCTTGGTATGCCCGGTACCAAGGGTACTGGGACTCTATTTTTCAAACTCTACCGGGCGATGCAACGAGAATGAGCGCTTGGTAGAACCGCGGCCTGGATATAGTCGGGGCCAGTTGAAGAGAGTAGGAGAGGGGTTCAGTGACTGTGCTAGGCGTACACAGCCCACATCAGATTCGTCTGGTCGTCTTGGGTACTCCGGAGTACACAGCCCACATCAGATCCGTCTGGTCGTCTTGGGTACTCTGGAGTACGTGCGGTTCATTCAACGAACTGGGCATACGCTGTGCAGTGTGCTGAGAGGAAGCTGTAGAGAAACGCGATCGGGAGGGACAAGTGGTGGGCACCAGGCGTACGCAGTAGCGTGCTGCCTGAAGAGATCACCGAAGGAGGAAAGGACAGGAAGGAGAGCCAGCCGCGCTCAATGAAACCTCTCGTCAGGGGGCGGCATCCAAGAGGCTTGGGGTCGCAACTGCGGGGGTCATGGAGAGGGTTGTACAGAGAGTGAGCAAGGGGACAGCCGGCCGCTCGGTTCACAAGGGAGGATAGTGTCCCAGCGTACACAACGTTTGACACACTTTGTCTGGGTGAATAGCAGCGAAGCAGATGTGATCAGCACATCGATCGGAGTATCCGTGGCTCAAACTGGCGGAGGGGAGTGACTGATTCTGTGTCAAGGCGGACAGGGAGCTTTGGTAGGCGTACTGTGGCATACTGCGTAGCCACACGGGCCCTGCAGGGCCCCTCCCGGACATTCAGCCTAAAAGCCTAAAACTTAGGGCTTACAGGCCCCGTTCGTTTCAGCCTGGATGCTGAAAAACGAGGGCCTGCAGGCCCTACCTCGTTTCAGCCTATTTCTGGGTCTTTTCAGACCCAGAGTTTTCAGCCTGAAACGGAGGGCCATTTTCAGGCCCTCATTGTTTCGACCTGCCCCTAAGACTCAGGCACGGAAACAGGGATGCGGAACAGGCCCAAAATAGCATTTTCCTCACGTGCTCGAGCAGGAGCTGCAGCTGCAGCCCCGGCCTCCCTTCGGCAGGCTCAAGAGGCACACCCGTAGTACATAGGAGGTTCCCATGCACTTCACGGGTAGGTAGTGTTCAGTAGGCACGAGTAGTCTTCAGGATTCAGCCGCAGCACTCAGGAGGAGCGCTGCGGTAGTCTTCAGCGCTAGGCAGTAGTAGTAGCGCTAGCTGTAGTCTTCGGTGCTGGGCGCCATAGCTGTAGCTGTGGTCTTCAGCGCTGGGCGCTGGTAGGTGGTAGATCGTAGAGTGGGAGAGAGACTGGCGGAGGCCAGTGTTACTTACCTGTGGCGCCATCGCTCCAGCTCCATCTTCGTAGTACCTGCATCAAGGCGCCAACTTCACAGGTTAGTACTGGACACAGAGAGAGAGAGAGTTCTTCTTCTTCCTCTTCTAAGTCCACCTTCTCTTCTCACCCTCTTGCCACCTGACTTCTCAGACTACGACAGAGAGAGACAGAGTTGTGACTCGAGACTTGACGACATTGGATCCAGACTTCACACTTGGGATTCAGACATTTCGRCGAGGGACTATTTGGGCTTGTGCCGAAGACTTGGTGTTGACGACCTTCCCATCTTCCCCTCCTCTTCGTTTATCCCCTTCCTCTTCGTCTGTGTATGGTACKGGCTGGCGCTGTCTTCCTGTGTGAAGCGCCAGGCYCATTCACACCATGTAACGATGATGATGATGTATGTTCAGGGCTGCATTACAACATTGATTGTTCCGATCACTGGTATCTAAGTCTTCCGTTGTGCTATCTTATACTTTGTATTGAAAGG